TTCCTTGGGAAGCATTACGCTTTTTAGCAGCCATTCTCGCCCTACAGTCGTTCATCTTTGCTTAAAACTCCTTCATCTCTGCAGCCAAGCTTATCATCAAAGAGTCTTCGATCATAACGTCGGAAGAGATTTCTTTTAATTCATCCTCGGCTTTGTTAATCTCTAAAAGCAAAGACTCTCTTTCAGATGCAGCACGAAGATATTGAGTACTCCTGATCTTCAGTTCAACATTTTTAGATAGCAAGAAGAGGATGTCAGAGTGGATAACCTTCAATGTCGCGTTAAAGTCAGCAGAAACATTGAGCGATGAAAGTGTAAGTGCTTGCGCCAATTTCGAACTCAATAGCTCAAACTTATCCTTATATTTAGTAGCACTAGCCTGACCGATATCCATGTCCATAAAAGACACATACTCAAGTACCATCTGTTTGAGAGACTTCATATTTTCTTCCGAAAAAGCAGAAGATGAAGCAGAAGGATGACTGGTTGAAGTAGGGCGAGACGTCTTGACTTGTCTCCAGGAAGTTAACAAGTCCTGGATGGAACTCACAATGTCATCAGCACCCTGCAAAGAAAAATGCCAACATTGAGGACTTTCACTACAATAAGCGAAGCGAAAATGAAAGTGAAGCAAAATGTTACCTCATCAGCAATTTTGGGAAGTTCAGGCATATCACCAGTTGGGGACTTCCCCTTATCTGGGTGAGAAGACTCTGCCACAACGGGTAGGCCCATGGGAGCCTCTACATAATTCGAGAAGCAACGAATCAGAAACCAGTAGCACAAGTAAAGGTAAAACATCAAAATATGTATTACCTTTTGATTCGACATTTGGGGGGTCTGCGCCCTGGGAAGAAGGCGGCCCTTCTACTGGTTGTGATGAAGATTTCGGGACTAAGGGTTTCTCTTTAAGCATAGTCCCTTCATCAGCTGATTTGGACGAAGCAGCTTCAGCAGAAGATGATGAAACAGGAGTTGCCAAAACCAAAGCCTTCGAAGGAAATGCTGAACTTTTCTGAGAAATTCAGGTAAACTATTAGTACATAGAAAAGTATGTTTGTGAATAAACAAATTCAATTACCTTTCTACTAAGGATGAGAGGAGCGTCATCATCATCATCGTTATCATCATCGTTATCATCCCACAAAATGGGAGATGCTGAAGCTGGCCGTTTGCGGTTTAAAGCACCTTTAACTGCAGTAGCCTTGGCAGGTGAAGAAGCAGATGAACGGATAGGGTGTTTAGCGCGAGCAGAGGAGGAAGGATTCCTAATGGACACAGGGGTGACCAAAATAGGAGAAGTAGAGGAAGTGTCTGGCTGATCCAGTAAATGGAAGGTACGATCAGTTGCAAACAATCTGCGTTTTACTGATGACCAGAGCTGTTTAAAAAGAGGATGGACGGCACAGCTAGAATTGAAAGGGGCTAATGAAAATTTGCTCGTCAAAAGAATGTTGTGAGCATCTACAGCTTGTGCTTCTGCCTTATTAATAGTGTGAAAACGATCTGTCAAATTTTTGGAGTAGTAAGGAGGAACAGGCCAAGTTTGGCCAAAACTAAGTTGACGAGCAAAAAATTAGGGAGCATATATTTCAACCCTAGCCTTGGCATTGGTTCCAGTTAAAATATCGTGGAACAATTCCCTCCCAATCAAAAACTGAACCCAAACAAGTAGAGAGGCGCTCGCACTGTCCAGGTTGGACGGAGGTTGCACATAATCTGGAGTCAAGTGAGCAGGAAAAGGAAAGAAGGAATGAATCGAATTTAAGGTATGAAAGAATGAAAAAATGTCCCTACTGGACATATTTACAGGTTTCAATGGGTCAATGGCTAGCCCGTAACAACTAGCAGAACGAAGGAAAATGGATGGAGCACCAACTGGTGGAAAATATGCTCTCAACCACAATTGAGTGAACTAAAGGGGCCCACTGCCAGTGAGAGATGCACCATTCTTCAGTTGAGATTGAAGGGAAGTCATGCCTCTATAAAGGGCAGCTAAAAAGAAGGAACATAAATTCAAAGGCCTACCTTGCGTCAATTCATGCGCTATGGGTAAGTAGCTCATAGAAGGTTTCATACTTGGCACGCAGAGAATATATTTACATAGCCAAATTTGAAGAAAGGCCACTCGCTCAGTGTGGGAAGGTTCAGCGCTTGAATGATTATAAAAGCCTTGCATGCTTGAATAAGACTCAATAAGTTTCTTGTCAAATTTCGAGCCAACACTGGAAATCAAGATACCAGAAAAGATGGTATCGCCAAGGCGGAAGATTTACTAGGGCTCCAACGTCCCTTAAAGTAATAGACATGGGACCAAGAGGGAAAATGAAGGTATTATATTTAGAAGACCAAAAACTCAAAGCAATCAGAAAAAGCACTGGGTCGAAAATTGGGGGTTGAAGAGCGATTTCTGATAAGTCTGAAATCCTAGCACAATCAAAAATTGTCTTGGTAGGGCCATGATTCACAAGACGTGCATGCCATCTACGAAAAATAACATCAGTTTTGGGCCAAGTGCGAATACCTTTTTTGCGAATTGGCCTCAATGGCAGAGAGTTCAGGAACGAAGGGTCTTGAGTGCAAGGGAACAACTGGCCCACCGCCACTTGTCCAACGACTTCGGCATTATTGAATGATGGACCCAGATAGAATTCATTGAGGTCAGTATTGGCTTGTGCAATGAAGTTTGGATTTACATACAGCCTAGTAAGGATTTTTTGGAAATCTTCGAAACTAAAAGAATCATCAGATTGAGTTTATGAAGTCGCCATTGGGTGCAAAGTACAGTTTTGTTAAGATTTGCCTGAGGAACATAGCAGAGAAGCAATGAGATGAACAGTAAAATAGTGAGGAGGAAGTGCGAAATATAGAGACGTGGTTTAGTGGTGCGATGAAATGACGTGTCTTTTGGGTTTATAAGGGTTTGTAACGTTGCACCTTTTATGGCTATAGAAGGAAATAATGATTGAAATTCTTGGGAATTTCAAATGTTGCTGGAAAATACAAAGTGAATATGGCAAAGATTAATAATTGGTATTAATTCTGCCATATTGGGGGGTAATTGTTGACACACTAAAAGTGCAGTCCAAATCAAACAGCCCAAAGAGTGAAGCCTAATTGGGGAGTCCATGATAAAGGTCCAAACAGGATTATTGATGAATGTAGTGGAAGCCCACGAATACAGTAATATCATCACCTAAACTTGCAAGACGCCCAGAATCTGAGCGAATGGAGTGCCTTACGGTCACCCAGAGCGATGACCTCGTTCTCGCCCAAACCTTCGAATCGCCTAAGATCTTAGTAAATATAAAATATTATGGTTATCCACAATAGAATAGCAGTTATTGAGTAATCTTATCACATTCCACGATTCAAGGAGCCCATTTGTAGGCGGTTGAATGACAAAGAGTAATGGTAGCAGTTAGAGACGGCAGTTTCACGACAAGTTAGCCACCCTAAAGAAAGTGAGTAGTTATAAAGCAATCAAGCAGTTTCCAAGCGGTTTGTCATGAGGAAATCATCAAGAGAATATAAAAAGGAAGAGAAGACATAGAGAATAGGGAATCAAATACTCTCAAATAGAGAATATGTAATTTTAATTTCTTAACTTAAATTTAAACACTTCTTTTAGTACTCGTGTGCTTGCACCCATTAGATGCATTCTGTTTATTTCCAATTGTAAATCCTCGCCAATAAAAACCTTTTTTTGGGACTTTGTTTCAAGAGGTCTATTCCTTACACAATTGTTTGACTCATTTTTTAATTGTTAGTGACTATCTACGCGAAACAAAATCCATGAAAATCATGATTGGTACCATAATAAATCGAATGGAGAATCAAACAACGCCAACTCAGCTGCCATTATTTTTGAATAGAAAGCTTCACCAGAGAGCTATTGCCCTTTAAATATTAAAATAGAATAACCAATAAATATTTAGATAAAAACATGTAGAATATTAAAAATTATTATCAGATAATATTTTTAATCTTGCAAATTGCTAGTTTATATATAGTGAGACATCAAAATTGATTTTGTATTAGAGGCTTAAGAGGAATTCAGGTCAATGCATTTATTTTAATTTATGAATAAAATAAGGGGGAAAAAGACTCAAATTATCATAATGTTGCATTATGTTGGTGGACAAAATTGCTGTCTCACATAGTAGACTTTTCCCTTCACATAGTGGACTAGATTGTATCACATAGTACATCTAAATTCAGTGTAAAAACACATGTTATGATCCGTTTGGTAGGATTTTCGCTTTTTGTGAAAAAATATTTCTATGATAGTAACTTAATTAGGGTTTGAAAATTAATTTTTAAGATAGTTTTCTCTTTTGAAATAACTTTTTAGAGAAAATTATATTTAATTAATTTTCTCTAAAAAACTCTTTTGACTCTTATTTGATAAGATTTTTAGTAAATTTTGATAAAAATTAATGAAATATGTGCCTGAAAAGTTGTGGGTTCTATAAAATGCGTGATTAAAATTAATTGTTATTTTTTACTTAGATTAAAATATCTACCAAACAAAGCCTTAATTAAAAGAATTACTTTATAAAATTAACCTAAGGAGTTAAAATTCCTTTTAAGAGAATATTCGATTGAAAAGTAGTTAAAATTTTGAATTTACTTATAAAATATTTAATTGAAAATGATTACAAAATTTTCAGATAATGGCAAACAGTGACGTGACTTTTTTCCCTCGTTAATGATTAATTATAGGGTCGGTCCATTATTTAACCGCTGCAATGAGTATTTGCCTCGATAATTTACCACCCTACAGAGTTTTAGGGGGTCGATACGTCCTCAAAATTGGGGTTCAATCTTTTTTTTTATTATTGTATTTGCCTCTATAAACTCCATTTGTACACATTAATGTAAAAATAAAATGAAAAATATAGTCGTTATGAATCACAAAAAAGATAAAAAGTCAAATATAATGACTTGATACGATGAATAAGGTTCATATTTTTTTATAAATAATGGAAACAAACGGGGCTAAATTCAGACAACAGTTACAAGTTACAAATTGCCGGCATTAGAGGTCTACAAGCTCCAACTTCTTCTTCTTGTTACTATCCTTCTCCACTCCCACCCCCTAGATTTTCAGGAATTTGCCGTTTGGCTCCATCTGGGCTTTATCTTCTACAGTCTCACACTTCTCTTCCAGAAGGGCAAAACGAATGGCTCACTCAATTGCCAAGGCCACACTTGGCCTCACACGACCAAACAAAATCGAGCACCCAAAGGTATTCTTTTACTATTGCTTTGATAGTAATTGTTTTGCTTAAGATTAAGAAAATCGTGAGAGTTCATTACACGCTAGATTTATGAAGAGATCAAAGGCTTCCTGTAGTGTACCGACTAAGATTTATGGTCTTATCTTTGTTCATAAATGCACTCTCGAGTTTTTGAATCTTAATTGATTTACTTGAATTGAAGCTTCTGTGTGGTGTTTATATCATTGGGTTCCTAAATGTCCATCAAGATTGTGGGGATTGGATGAGGAGTAATTATTTTTAATGTTTCACCAATTTTTTGAGACACATTCTGCAAGAAGTGGATATTTTAGCCGGTCTGTCCTTTAAAAATTATTATCATTTTTCTTGGAGGTATTTATATCTCATATATTCCAATTTTCAATCCCTTTGCATATTTTTAAGAATGAACCGTTCCATTTGTATGCATCATTTACCAAGTGAATGGTGCATGTTAGTGTTTGTTTTATATATGTAGTTGCATACATGTGCCTACATAAATTTACATATGGATGTTTATGTTCAAGTACAGCTTTCTTTGTTAAGTATTTTGGGGATTAATTGCTGCATCACTTAATTTGACATGTATTATTGAATGATTGAAGATATCATTTGTGGCAAAAGAGATTGACTTGTTAGAATGGAAAGGAGACATACTTGCAGTAGGCACAACTGAGACAGACGTGGTCAAAGATGAGAATTCAAAGTTCAAAAATTTAATCCTGCAAAAACTAGATTCACAATTAGGTGGTTCGTTGTCTAAAGCATCATCGGAGGAGGATTTTACTGGAAAGGCTGGACAGTCAACAGTTCTTAGGCTTCCCAATCTTGGCTTGAAAAGAGTATGTCTAATTGGCCTTGGATCAGCGGCATCAGCAACTGCTGCTTATCACAGTCTTGGTGAAGCAGTTGCTGCAGCAGCTAAGTCTGCTCGGGCAAGTAATGTTGCAATCATACTTGCTTCTTCCGCAGAGCTCACTACTGAATCAAAGCAAAGCGTTGCTTCAGCAATAGTAACTGGTACTTTTTCTAGATTCCTTCTCTTTCATTTGACCTGCAACATCAGTTTGTTGCTAATTCATTGAATTAATTTTGGGGGAATGTTCCATATGCCAAAGGATCTGTATTGGGGACTTATGATGACAATAGATTCAAGTCAGAGTCAAAAAAAGGGACTCTCAAAGCCGTGGAAATTCTTGGTCTTGGCACCGGACCTGAGATGGTAAAAAAACTCAAGAATGCAGAATATGTTTGTTCTGGGATAATTTATGGAAAAGAGCTAGTAAATGCACCTGCTAATGTACTCACACCTGGTTGGTAATCTTTCGTATCATCCTATTCATTTTGCTATTACTTTGCATTGCCTATCAAAGATTGATTATTTTGGAAATTTGCTTGTGTAATTAAGGTGGGAATCTCATTTTCTATGACCTTTTAAATTGTATATTTCTCTATTTCTTCGGTCTCTTCATGAAGTAAAATATGCCTTTTCTTGTTAATTTTGGTTACTTGATATGTTAGGAGTACTAGCAGAAGAGGCCAAAAGGATTGCTTCTGAGCACAGTGATGTTCTTTCTGCAACCATCTTGGATGTAGAGCAGTGCGAAGAATTAAAAATGGGTTCTTATCTTGGTGTTGCAGCAGCATCTGCTAATCCTCCGCATTTCATCCACTTATGTTACAGGCCCCCCGGTGGAGAAGTCAAAACCAAGCTGGCCTTAGTTGGAAAGGGGTTGACGTTTGACAGGTGAATAAATATGTATTCCAAAATATACTTAAATTTTAAAGAGATGCTGTCTAGAAATATGGTTGAAATGGGATATTGTTGCTGTGTTTCATGGGCTCCTCAGTAGTGCAAAATATTCAATTTTCTTCTTATATGTTCCAGTGGTGGCTACAATATCAAGACAGGACCAGGTTGCCTCATTGAGCACATGAAATTTGACATGGCAGGTTCAGCAGCCGTGTTGGGTGCAGCAAAGGCTCTTGGTCAAATCAAGCCAGCTGGAGTAGAGGTGACTCATTTCTTTTCCTTGTTACCATTTCAAGGACTACATGCTGTTTTTGTGGACTTGATTCATTTTCATGTTAACAGTCTCCTCCTTATTTATCTTTCATTTTAATTGAAAATATCTATAAATCATATTTTAGTTAAGTCATTTAGAGATTGATTGAAAAACCTGATAACAAATGATATTTATGCAGGTTCATTTCATTGTTGCAGCTTGTGAGAATATGATAAGTGGAACAGGCATGAGGCCTGGCGATATTGTTACTGCATCAAATGGAAAGACAATTGAGGTAATTTCTTCATTTTTCTATAGGATAATCCTGGCTCTTTAATTCTTTGTTAATTTTGTGAATTTATACTTTTAAATGTTCATGCTCTCATTGCAAAGGTTAAACCTTTTTGCATAATTTTTCTCTTCAATTTATTATTCTACTCAATTTTTATTCTCACAATTTGTATTAGATGTATCTGTATTGAGTCTGGATTTGGTTTTGTTATGAAGGTCTGGATTTTCTGCATATTTTCTTTCGAACATTCTTTCTATTGATCCCTCAAAAATAATAATCACGAAATCTTTCTCCACAGTATGTTTTTGGCCAAAAAAATTTTAATCCTCGCATCTGAAATAGATTTATCTACACAATGAATCTGGATTTGATTTCATTATGCAGATAGAATTTGAAGTTCTAACATTCAGTTTCATATTGTTGTGCCACATTGTCATCTGGCAGGAGATCTTACATGTTACTTAGTCAATGTCTACTTTGCATATAAATTTCTATGCTCTTACATCTTATTTAAAGCATGCCCCTTTCCTTTTCTGCTGTATTTATCATTTATAATTCCTCCTCTTCATGAAAATTTCACTGAGTAGAATGGACAAAAGATAGAAATTTAGGATCTCTTTACTCCATTTATAATTGTCCTTACAATTAATTTCATTCTTATGAACATATTTAATTGCTCATATAACGCTTTTAGTGACACAATTGTTGGCATATGTTCAATAAATCTTTTAAATTTCTGGTGTTCAAATACTTATGAATGAGTTCATTGTGCATGATAACACTATGACAGAGAATATTTTTACCACATTTTATCAATAAAAAATATACTAGAAAGAAGATTTCTCTATGGATATCTCAAGTTCGAAAATTTAATGAATTTTGTGCTAGCACCTGTATTTAATAAATTTTGAGGATTCAACCTGAGCTTGTTTTGTTACTATTGATTTTCCAGATTGCATTGTTAGGTTCTTTTATAACCTGTCTTCCATAATAGTTTGACGATGTAACTAAAATTAACTGCAGAATGACATACCAGACAGCAGTTTGCTTTATTGTTGTACATGGCTTGGTTTTTATTCTGATCATTTAGAGCACACTTGGATATTCTTTAAAAGTTCACTAAGTGGATAGATTTCAAAATTAATAATTCTTTTTATTGGTGTAAGTTGGATATAAGTAATTTTTTGTCACTGATGGTAAGAGTTAATTTATAAGTAAGAAAAAGGTGGTTGTTCAAACATTTTTAGAGGCTAAATGTTACTTTTACTTTCTTTTCTCAAGCTTAGCCAATATGCTTTTTATAGTCTTCCATATGGTTCTTTGGGTCTTTGGTTACATTGTATTAACAATGTCAATTGGCATGACACTGGATGCTCGTTTAACCTTACTCAGACACAAGTTTAAAAGAAAACTTTTCTCTCGCAAATATGTTTCACTATCACTCCATCCCAGAATAACTGTGGCAGTTTCCTCAAAAGGGTGTCCCATTAGGTTCTCACCTTTCATTTAAAGGAAGCTTTTCCCGTATTTTCGAACAACGACCTTAAATTTATGGACCCACTTAAGTTCAAGATATACTTAATCACCCATTTTCAGAAGCTTGGTGATGAGGGCATCTACTTTTTATTTAATTTTTAGTTGAACTTTATTTATTTTTTAGATTTTATTTATGTAATTGGGCTTGTGTTGGCCCAAGTCCATTCTACTTAGGGTTTTAGTCTTTACTATTTAAACATAATTGCGATGTAATTTCAGGGGTTTTGATGAATTGAAAAATATTTTGGTGGTTTTTTGCCCATGACTTCTCCTTCCTCTCCCTCCCCCTCTCCCCCATGAATTTCTGATTCTTCTCCGGTTTCTCCCCCCATTCTCTCTGGTTCTCCCCTCTTTCTTACTTCTTCTTTCTATTTTTTAATTCGTCCTACATCAAATTTGGTATTAGAGCCTAAACTTTGGTAATCTCTCATATCCAATCCAAAAATCTCTTCCTATTTCTTTCCCAAGAACTTATGGAACAGCACAAACAAATAAACTTTTAATGTGAGCAGCCGAGTTATTATTTTTTCAGCTTCTTCATAGTTGTTCCCAAAAAAAAAAAAAAAAAAAAATTACTGTTCGGGGTTACTGTTCAAGCCCAATTTCAGTTTTTTTTTTTTTTCGAAGTCTGATTATAACCAATTCATTAATATCAAATACCCCACAGTTTCACCCAATTCCTCTCTCACAACCACTCTCTTGCCGCTGCTGCCGCCTCTAATCACCATCACGCCACCACTTTATTATCTATTGTACCCAGCATCCAGAGCATTACCGCTTCATCGCCATAGGCCGCCACCACCAACCCAAGATCATAGACTTCCACCACAATTACCACACTCATATATTTCCTCGTCCATCTCAACAATCTAAAAGTCATAGTCACCACACTCAGTTTTACGTCCACACCAGAACCAGCACAAGTTACAGTCAACAGGGGCTAAAATCATTGGATACAAAGGGAAGAACAGAAGCATAGTTGGGGCTCATAAGTCGGCAATTCAGATCAATCGGCATACAAATAATCAAAACTAAACAATAAAGAGTACTTGATCTCTATTTAGTATTGGTTTATACCACTGCTTCATTTTTAAAATTGCATCAATTAAAATCCTGTGCTGCTGTTATCGTGATAATTTTAGCCTTAAACCCCACTTGATCGAAACCATTAATCGAAGTGACACCGGTGACCGAATTGACTTCCACTGTCCCCCACTTAAATTGATTGGAGAATTTGACTAGTGTGTTGACCCTTGCTTTGTCATTTTACATGTACTAGCAGTATTAGCTTGTTTTGGATTTAATTAATCCCAATATTTAAAATTAAATAAAAAAAATTGGTATAAGTTATTTTCCATTGCTTGCACGTATTGTTCACTGATCTCATTATAGCATGTCATTTAGCTGGTATTACATTGCATGTAGTTGCGTAGTGATCGACTTGTCGTCTCTATTTCCAATACATTGACCATGGATCGATCCCAATTTGACGCACTCACTAGACAATTAGCGCAACTTGCCACTAGACTATCGACTGTCCAATAAGATATAACTGCTACTCGTGAGGAGAGAAAGACCCTAGCTGCTAAGTTGAGCAATTTTAAGCGAACCCCTCGTTTGACTGACACTAATTCTGAAGCGTCTCATAATAGACATTATCATCATGGACAAAGTGATCAAGAATATTTTCGACGCGATCGTAGGAATAGGGATCAGGTTCGTGAGCGAGAACAAAGCCATGATCATCATGATACTCATTCTCTTCCTCGTGGTAAGGAGCGTTTCTTTAGAGACATTGACTTAGATATCCCTACTTTCGATGGTTGCTTAGATCATGGAATTTTTACCCAATGGAACACCCTTACACAAGGGAATCGGCTAGTAACTGAGTACATTGCTCAATTTGAGGAATTTCGAGTGAAATGTGATGATGTTGAGGATGAGGCCCTGACTTTGAGTAGGTTTATACAATGTCTAAGAGATGAACTTAGGCGTGAGCATTTCTTTCGAGGCGTCACTACTCTTGATCACGCTTACTCTTCAGTTCGGGACTACGAGTTACTTATTAGCACTCCATATGAAAAGCGCGACCACCATCGTTCTCCCATGTCATTAGCGCCACCTCAACATGAGTCTATCATAGAACCTCCCCCGTCTAATGTTCCTCAAATTTTGAAAAATAAGGGTAAAATTTTTGAAACTCCAAGGACTTCTCACCTGCTATGCATTAGATGTAAGGACTTTGGCCACATCTCTTTCAAATGTCCTAACCGAGCCTCAATCATAGAAGAATGAAAGGATATAATAGAAGAGTCGTTAAAAGATCAAATTTATGAACCTAAATTTGAAGAATGTGATGACTTGAATGATATTGAGGACACTTACTTATGCAGTATCAGGACTTTTCCTATGAATCTAGGGGTTGTACCCCTTGTTCCCGATACCCCTCAGTTAAATGTTGTGTGTCATACTCTTTGCCAACCCAAAGGTACGGATGATTTGCGTAATCATGTCCTTTTCAAGGAAAATCTTGAGAATTGGGATTTGATCCTCCCAACAATTCAAATTGCATATAACAATTTTGTGCATCGATTTATCGGTACGAGTTCTATCGAAGTTATTCATGGTTATAATTCTAGGAAACCTTTAGACCTTATTCCAATGTCTCCACATACTAGCATGTCTATGTCAGCTAAGGCATTTGTACGTCATCTTCATGACTTGCATATTGAGATCAATAAAAAACATGACGCAAGTAATGCATTATATAAACTTCAAGCTGATTCGCATAAACGATATTTTGAATTTAATATTGGGGATTATGTTATATTGCAAGCTTGTAGTGCTGGTCCTTTAAAAATTTTAAAGCATGTTGGTTCAAATGCACATGTCATTGCCCTTTCATCACATTTCGACTACCACTCTACTTTAAATATTGAGGATTTCGTTACTTACAAACACCGTGTTACTTCCTTTGATGATCTATTTCTACTTAGCTTTATGGACCCCAACTTGACTATGTTGATATTTCTGCTTTAATACCATCTATCACAGCACACAAAGATAAAATTGATGTTATTTTAGATGAGCGTGTTGTATTGACTAATGATGGCAAAATTCAGTACGTCCTTGTTTGTTGGGTAGATCGACGTGCTTCTTATGCTCCTTATTATATACAATCATGTGAAAATCTTGAAGATGAGATGCATGAGTATTGGTTATTTGGAGTCCAGTATCAGTACTTGGTTAAAATGAAAGATCGCCCCCCTTGGTCAGATCATATTCTTGGGAATAAGCTACAGTTTTCAGCACTATCAATCATGAAATTTTGTTACTTGGTTCGTCAGAAAGATCGTCCCCCGTGGCTTGACTTAACGCATTTGAAGTATCAGATTGACTGTAGCCTATACTATTTATCAACTCGACATGGTCGAGTTTTTCTCCCACCCTGGGAGAGTTGATGAGGACATCTACTTTTTATTTAATTTTAGTTGGACTTTATTTATGTTTTAGATTTTATTTATGTAATTGGGCTTGTGTTGGCCCAAGTCCATTCTATTTAGGGTTTTAGTCTTTACTATTTAAACCTAATGGCGATGTAATTTCAGGGGTTTTGATGAATTGAAGAATATTTTGGTGGTTTGTTGCCTATGGCTTCTCCTTCCTCTTCCCCCCCCCCCCCCCCCCCCCCATGAATTTTTGATTCTTCTCCGGTTTCTCCTCCCATTATCTCTGGTTTTCCCCTTTTTCTTGCTTCTTCTTTCTATTTTTTAATTCGTCCTGCATCACATGGTCTATCTCGACGTTCCTTGTTTTATATTGATGAGTTTATCTCACATGTTAAGTTACTATTCCCAATTTTTTGGCATTGATCATTCTTCAGGTAAACAATACTGATGCTGAAGGAAGACTTACACTTGCAGATGCTTTGGTATATGCTTGCAATCAAGGAGCGGAGAAGGTACAGTTAGTGCCTTTTCTCTACATCTCTATTTTTGGGAAGCTCCATTTTTATGGGTTTTATTCTTTTATCAGTTGTACATATATTTTGATATCGGGAATGAGAACCTAAAAGGCACGAGATAGATGATACACGAATTAAAAACCTGTCAATTGTTCACTATTTTCGAATAAGTCGGGCCACTTTTTTAGGGTTCACTTTCTGTTTTGATATGTAATGTCCTTTTAATCTTTTGCAGATTGTTGATTTAGCCACATTGACTCGGGCTTGTGTTGTTGCTCTCGGACCCTCTATTGCTGGTATGTGATTTATAAATCTTTGTTTTGTCCTATTATTTGAGAACATCCTCCGGTCCAATAGTTTCTGGCTTTTTTCATAATTTGGAATTCTCAAAGTGGTCTGAGCATGGAAATTCCTTGTGAAGATCCTTGAACTGATTTATTCTTGATATACAAAATCAGGTGTTTTACCCCCAGTGATGACCTGGCAAATGAGGTACTTGCAGCCTCAGAGGTAAGTGGTGAAAAACTTTGGAGGATGCCCCTGGAAGAAAGTTACTGGGAGTTCATGAAATCTGGAGTGGCTGATATGGTTAACACCGGTAGTCACCAAGGTGGCTCCATCACTGCAGCTCTTTTCTTGAAGCAGGTATAGCTCCCCCCACCCCCCACAACCCTTTCTTTCTTGTTGAATCAGCATTTTGGCATTATTAAGTTTGTTTTACCTTGTGTGCATTTGGTGTCTACTGAATCAGCTTTTTACTTAACCATTTTGAGAAGTGCGGAATAGTTGTAAATCTAATGGCCTAATTTATAGTTTGGAATGGTTCTAATAGCAAGTAGGTTGATTACAAATCTAGAAAATCGGCAATTTGGAAAGGGACTTCAAATTTTGACCCTTGGGGCTTTTTTCTCACAGCAAAAAATAAAAAAGAAAATGTTCCTTTTGTCAGAGGAAATCACCTATTTGAATATGGAAAAATTGGGTGCTACCGTGTATCTTTGTATTGGCTAAACTCACAAATTGGAGATACATGGGTCGTTGTGGGAGTTTAGTTCGTGTCTGGGCATAGGTTACTTCATTGTTGCAAGTGACTGTCGCTCACTTGGAGGCATTTGTGTCAAATTTGAATTGAGAGAGGTGATAAATTAGTCGGCAAACTAACACTCCAAATGGTGAAAGAATTGCTCCCACTCCATCTTGACTGGATCTGTTTGTGGGAATAAGGGCATTTTTTTTATTTTTATTTTTTTTATGGATCAGTAATTTTGAGTTCTTTCTAAAGGCCTAGATATGATTGCGTAGAATCTCTTCCCTTCTTTCCTTAAACTACATTTTTCTCTTCCCCCTAGTTTACTACTAATGACCTCTGCCGTTCATGACAACAGATATTTTCCTTTCATCGTTCTCCCGATTTTCTTAGGAAAAATTATTAGATTCACGTGTTATATTCGAAAGTTATCCCTCTTCCAACCTCTATAAAAGCTGTTTTCCTATGACTTGTTTGGTACTGTAGACTATAAAATTCTAAACACTATCAAGGAGGGAAAAAAAATTTAAATCTTGTCGTGCCAAAGATGTTTTAGAAGTTCTCCGTCCACCTTACAATGCATTAGGTGGGGTGCCTAACACAGTGAAACCCAAATGAGCTTCAGACTAATGAAAAGGAGAAACGAAAGAATGTATTGGAGATTATAACCTGTATCATAGTCTGTCTCGGTAATGGCATCTGACTTGTAACTGTTTATATGCAGTTTGTTGATGAGAAGGTCCAGTGGATGCACATTGATATGTCTGGCCCTGTTCGCAATGACAAGAAGAAAACTGCAACCGGTTTTGGTATTTCAACTCTGGTTGCATGGGTTCTGAAGAATTCTTCTTAGTTTGGGCCTGCTCGGATGACAAATACCATGTATCTGAAGGAGGTCGAAGAAAAACGGGAAAGATGTTATTCATGTTGTTCGATGCTGGGTGTCGAGTTATACTAATAAAGACCGTTTCAGAAAAGAAAACGAGGCCATTGCTGTGTTTTGGTTTTTTCAACTCTTGTTACTGTCCCTTTGGAGTATGAAGTTTTCTTTTATTTTTGGCCTTTTTGTCAATGTTCATTATGTTCTTGTTGCTGGGAAAATTGAAAATTAAAGTATGAAAAATGTGAGGTAGAACTTTTTGTTCCCGTAAAAATGAATACAGATTGTTCTTCAATGATAATATTACAAACGAGTGACCAGTTTCATGTTCAATTTTGAACAAATTAAACTTTGACGTTCCGTTTAAAATTTTTCGAAAACTTGTCCGAATTATAAAGCTATGACACAATCAAACCCGAACAAACAAAATGTTGAATTAGCTTATGATAAACTTTGATTTTCTGTTAGTCCAGCACTAACTTTTCGGGATATTTTTCCCTTGGATCTGTTGCAGGAAAGACATAATGTGCAACTTCGAGTTGTCAACTATATCCTTTATGGAAATGGTAAACAAATTCGAGGAGTTTCTTATACAAATATTCACTTAGTTTGGACTTGTTTAGTATTGAATTGGGGGCATTAGTTCATTCTCACATTTTTTTAATCGATTGGAGTGGAATGATGAATTTATTTCTCCGCCATCGATGTAATGAAAGTGAAGGACCCATGACAATGAGTGAACCTGAATAATCAACTCGTTTCCTGGGGTGATCGTACCATGCGAACCCTTTTTTTCACACCTTCTTCTCAACAAACTAATAAATAATGGAGAAATATATGAAAATGACCAAAATAAAGAGGCTATTTTGCCATTTCAACCAATTAAAGTACCTAAAATACCCCCTCCTTATAAATATTGCATACAAATCTTCCATTCTAGTCTTTAAAATTAATCATTTCTTGAATTTAGATAGATTGCTTATCTAGATTTATTTGATTTAGTGCTTGTTTGGTAAGGATTTTGTTAATTGATTTTTTGATCGTTAGAGATAAAGTGATTCTTACTTATGAGAGAAGAATTCAAAAATGACGGTTGAAATAGTGAAATAACGGTCAAAAATTTATTTTAATTGGGTTTTAAGCTGTACCAAACATGCTTTTATTTTATTTTTATTTTTTTGTTCGCTCGAAGTAGCACCCCGCAAATTAATTGGTATTAGAGCCATAGAGATCATGAAAATTAAAATAAGTAAAATAAATAATTATTGACATTTAGAAGAAGAAAAAAGAAGTTATATATTTTTAGAACCTATTCATAATAACTTAAAGATAATGACATTAAAAATAGTTAAAGAATTACCTAAAAAAATAAAAGAACAAATATTAGAAAAATTAATAATAGGATCAATAAAAGATATATATATGAAGATGAAGAAATTAATATATATTATAAAGAAAAGTATGAGTGTAAATGATAATACAAATTTAAAATTGAATAGATTACTCGCAAATATTAATAAGATACAAGGAAAAATACAAGATATAACATTAATACCAGATGGAATAAAAGTAAAAGAAAAACAGTTAATAAAATAAAAATGTGAAAAATTAAGACTACAAAGTAATTACTTTAAGATAGTAAGAGAAGAGTTAGTAAATACAGATATAGTTAATAGAAGATTTGAAAAAATAATAGATGAAAAAGAAGATAAAAGATGTAAATTAACTTATATATTAGAAAGATGATTAAAAAAAAAATTAAGATGTCAATAAGTAAATATATGGAAGTATTAAAATCATTAATAAAAATGTTGATAAATTATGTTCAAAATTTAAGAAGTAAAGTAAAAGAAACAATAAATGATATAAATATATTAAAAATTAAAATTAGAGAATTAAAAAAATAATAATAAAAATAAAGAAAAGAAAATAGATAAAAAAATTATAGAAAAAGAAATGACCCGAATATGAAAGAAACATATTGAAAAAGAAAATATAGCAATAGAAACAGGAAGTATGGATGATGAATGTAGAAAGAATATATTACCTAAAATATTAGAAGAAAAAGAATCTAGGGAAAAATGTTATGAAAATTAAAAATAGAAGAAAATTAAAAAAATAAAGATGAATGAAGAATTAGATTTACTTATAGAAAATTTTGATCAATTAAGTTTAAGTGATATAAGTGAATGTCAAGTTTTAATGAATACGGGAGGATAACCTAATTCAATAGGAGCCTCTAAACAAGAATTGCAGGAATTAGATGAAAATTATGCACTTATATATAATAAACCATATAGACAATTTTATAATAAAATAAGAAATAGACAACCACCTAAAAGAAATAAATATATAGACATGTTTGAATTAAATGATAATTACGACAAACGTATTAACCATAGAGGAACAAAATTAGATTTAAATTGTAAAATATATACTAAAAAAGCCTTATTAATTTGGCAGATTCAATGATATTATTCTTTTTATATAATAAAGATGACACATGAGAAAATACTGAAAGAATAATATATTTTTTAATAGCATCTTTTGAAGGAGATGTTAGAAATTGGTGGGAATGAATAAGTAATGATACAAAAACATTAATAAAAAGAAACGTACAAAAATCAGATAAACGAGATATAGAAAAGTTAGTAGAATATAACAACTTGTACTTTAATAGACACAGGAAGTGATATAACAATATTTAAAAGTTTTTTGATAAAATCATGGAATAGTAATAATAATATAAAAATAACTGGAGTCACAAGAGAAAGTACTTAAATAATTAATAGTACTGATAAAGCTAATATAATTCTTCGAAGTAAACAAGTTACAATAAATAAAATATATAAATATGATAAATTAGAGTGTGATATATTGTTAGGAAATGACTTTATACAACAATTTCAATATTATAAACAAAACAATTATTTGATAATGTTATAAACACCTTACTCACACTTATTAAAAATTTCAAGAGAATTTAAATCTTATAGAGTTCAACCAACCCAGTGTGCTGATAAATGGGAGAAAAACCAATCATATTTAATGAAATAAAAAATAAAAGAATATTGTATAAAAAAGTTCTAGAAATGGGAATAGAAAAAATTATTGAACAATTAGAAAAAGTTTATGGAGAAAATCCATTATTATTTTGGAAACCACATCACCCTAAGGCCAAAATAGAGTTAATAGAAAATGTTAAAATAAGAGTTAGACCAATGATATATACTATAGAAAATACACAATAATTCAAAAATCAGATAAAAGAATTATTAGAACAAAAAGATTGAGATATATTGTGCAATATAAGAAGAATTATTTCATTAAGGGCAATATAGACTTTTCTATGGATAAATTAAAAGGATATAAAATTAGGCCAAATAGAAAAATCCCCCTAAATAATGACGTTGTAGAAAGGATAAGAAAGGAACGAAATAAGGATGTTGAAAAATACTCTCTGTGCCTAAAATTATGGGGGCAAGTAGAACTGCATTGTACATGTGTATGATAGATACATGAATGAGGAAAAATTATCGATTGAGCTTCTTTTGATGTCACCCACGAAATTTTATTCTTTATATAATTTCTTTTTATAAGATACTAAGTTAATTTTTTTTTCCTTAAAATATTACGACTTATAAATTATTCTTTCGACTTTTATTAGAAATTTTTTATGTTTACTTGATATATTGATTGAAGAGTTTGTTTTTGATAAATTAAATTTGTAAACTATTTATGTTTTTAGTTACCGATAAAAAAAATTTAGGTAAAATTACGTAAATTTCAAAATTAGGAAACTTCAACAAATCAAGAACTTAGGCAATTGCCATATCCACCTAAAGCTTAGGCCGACTCTGAAGTTAAGTTTTTTCTCTATATGAATTTGGAGGGTGTTTATCAATGAAGCTGTTTGATATTGGATATTGTTGACAACCGCCTATAATGACTAACAAAAATAAGACAATCTACAATTGTGCTGGGCCGTCGACTCCCGTGAGTATTCTACGATTATGCTGAGCCGTTAACTCCTATAAGATTACCTACGCGGCCAATCCAACACTTAGCCATAAAATCATCAACGAATTGATGAGATTCACATAACGGCTGTCACGAGTACAACTAATCGACAGGTAGCTGAAGACCGATGGGTAGTTGAAGACCCCCCACTCAGAATGTGGGGTGGTGGAAAGGCTACGTGATACACGTTGCGCCATAACTGCCCAGCAATCATGCGGCTCCAATCACCTATAAATACACTTGAGGCGAAACACGAATCTCTCTGAAAAAACCTTTGCTATTTGAATTCCATCTTTGCTTTTCCAAACACCATATACTAATTCTCACGTTGGAGGTAAAACGGGGGAGAAAGCCCCGTCCTCATTTTTCAGAAAACGCTAGCCCATCAGGAGCGGCGTACGTCGTCTAGAGGGCACGGAGGTATTATTTCACAATTACTTCATTGTTAATGCATTTTGTTGGTGACCAACTTACTGACATTTTAAAGATTAAAAAACACAAGTACCGGTTCCATGGAGCAATTTACCATACACATAAAATATGACACTATTGAATTTGGCGTCTATCGAGAAATAGAATTATAGTTGAATAATTTGTAGTTCAATTTTTTCTATTTCAAATTGGTGCTTG